TGCTCGTACAACGCCATCGTGTCCCGGATGAATCTCTTCTATCTTGCCCAACGGCCATTGAGTACAAGGGATATTTCTTTCCTTGAGAAGCACGATGGATCCGATATTTAAGTTAGGCTCGTCTTTGATCCATTTGCGCCGAATTTGGAGCTCGTTCAAATATTCTAAGCTCCATCGTGACCAAAAATCTTGTCGTACTTTGGAGATGTGTTGCCAAGTTGAAAGACGATTTGCTGGGACAGACGACAGATTAGGTTCGGGCATATTGATCAATGGGCGACCGATTAAGCAATGTGCGGGTGTAAGAACTAAAGGATCATTAGGATCGGAAGAGATATAAGAGATAGGCCTTGAATTCAGTATTCCTTCAATTTCTATCGTGAAGGTGTTAAATTCTTCGAAAGTAAAAAGGAGTTCTCCGACCACTCTCTTAAAATGGTGTTTAAATAATTTTACCGTGGATTCCCAAAGTCCTCCAAAATGTGGAGCTGTGGGCGGTATGAAGTGCCAAGCAATATGATGTTGCACGGCAAATCGACTAGTCTTATTCCGGTGTTCATCGGAATTTAAAAGAACGTACAGTTCCTTCAAGTGATTATTCACACCTTTAAAATTGGTTCCATTGTCTGAATATATTTGTTCTGGGATGCCCCGTCTCGCGATAAAACGCCGTAATGCTGCTAAAAACCCGTCGGTGCTTAAATCGCTTACAATTTCCAGATGGACTGCCTTTACAGCCATGCATATAAATACGCAGACGTATACTTTGACTCGGTTGCGATTTCGATGTTTTTTCTCTTTAATATAGAATGGGCCGCAATAATCAATACCCGAGTTCGCGAATGGAGTTGCGCTACATATTCGAGGTTTCGGTAAATCGCCCATTTTGTATTTAGTCGAATCAGCATTGAATCTAAAACAACGAATACAAGCACGCACGATTTTGCGTACTTGATTACGACCATCGAGAATCCAGAACTTTCGTCTAATAGTATATAAAGTTGTTTGGATACCCGCGTGATAATATTTTTCATGTGTCTCCCTAATGATTAGATCCGTTAGGTGGTGACGACTTGGGAGGAGGATGGGATGTTTTTGTGCGAAAGTTAAATTCGATATTTTAAGGCGACCACCTACGCGAATTAACCCATTTTCATCAATAAACGGACTTAAATTAACAACGTTGCCTTTATTTACCGAGAGTCCCTTCGACAATTCCTTCCATTCGCGTGAAAAACAAGTTCTTTGAATATTTCTGATTATTTTAGTTTCCGTTTCGTCTATTTCCTTTATGCATAATTGTCCGCTATATTTTCTTCGGGTTCGGAAACGCAAGCACCAAGCCATGATTCTTATTAATTGAGAATACGACGAGTATCTTTGGAAAAGAACGCACTCTTCCGTGGTCGAAACTAAACAAGTATTTTTCTTTAATTCTGGTATTTCTTTTAGCGATATGATTTCATGAGGCCAGATGTGCTCCTCCTCGGCCAACCAAGATGGTCCGGAGAACCATGTACGATTCTTCAAAAAGGTGCTCGGTAATTGACCCCTAGATAACGCGTCGGCCGGATTATCATCCGAACGAACATGCCGCCAGAATCGCGAATCCGTGTTTTCTTGAATTTGAGTTATTCGGTGAGCTACGTATATTTTTAACAGATGTGGAGGAGATTTTATCCAATGAAGCACGATGGTCGAGTCACACCAGAAAACTGTTTTGCTTGGGGTAATTTTCAAAGTATGATACACCTCACGAAATAGTTTGGTCAATAACAGCGCGCCGCATAATTCAAGACGAGGTATCGTGGTCGTTTTTAGTGGTGCAACCCGAGATTTTGCACAGAGAAGCCTACAAAGAGTGTTGTTTCGTGAATCGCTTGACCGAATATATATACATGCACCATAACCCGTGTTGCTCGCGTCGCAGAAACCGTGAATCTGAATATCGTTGTAATCTGATATTAACACCTGACGTTCGATAGTCAAGTTATTAATCAAGTTTAATTGAGTGATAAACTCGGTCCATGTTCTGTGAAGGCTGGATGGTACAGATTCGTCCCAATCTACCGCGCAACGCCAAAGATCCTGCATTATCTTTTTCGCGTATAGGATGACGGGACCTAAGATGCCGAGTGGATCAAAGATTTTCGCAATTCCAGACATGATCGTTCGTTTTGTAATTCTTTCGGTATGGCCGATATCTCGTAAAGAATAGCACAATGTGTCGTTATATGCCTGCCAGACAATGCCTAGTGTTTTCAAAGTATTGTCTCTGTCGAGCACGAGATTCGAATTTACAGAACCGGGATCTAAATCCTCTATGATACGTTTATCATTGGATGCCCATTGTCGAATGTTAAACCCGCCTAGGGAGAGTATTGAAATTATCTCGTTGCGCAAGGTATGAGCTTCTTCGATGGTATTCGCACCAGTTAACAAATCATCGACATATAAATGCGTCTTGATTACTCGGGCCGCGTTACAATATGTGTTACACTCGTCATCAGCGAGTTTTTGAATCGTGCGTATGGCTAGAAAAGGTGAAGATGATACCCCGAACGTAAGTGTATTAAGTTGTAAGGTTTGTATTTGATCGTTTTGACGCCAAAGTATACGTTGATATATCCTATCATCCTCGTGTAACAATATCTGCCGATACATTTTTTCTATGTCAGCGGTAAGGACATATTTATATGTACGGAATCGAATCAAGTGAGTAAACAACGAGTCTTGGATGGTCGGTCCTACCATGAGCAGATCATTCAACGAAACACCGTTATTCGCTTTCGCCGATGCGTCAAAAACTACACGGACCTTGGTGGTGTTGCTCGAAGCTTTAATTACTGGATGGTGTGGCATGTAAAATCCACTATGCAAAGAGTCATGTATCAAGGTCATTTGCTTTAAATCTACGTATTCCTGTAGTACTTGTGAGTAAGCCGTCTTCAAAGTCGGATCTGAGTTAAGTCGTCGTTCGAGGGAATTTAAGCGCTTGAGAGCCGCAGTTCGTGAATCTCCGAGTTGCCGATCACGCTCGCGAAAGGGCAATCGTACGATATATCGTCCGCTAGGATGACGTGTTACGTGTTTTGTGTAATGAGCTTCACACTCGAGTTCTTCAATGGATTTCAATGTTCCAACGGATACTTCCTCGATTTTCCAGAATTGCGCGATTTGCTGTTCTAAGTTAGTTAATCGACACATTGCCTTATTTGAACGGTTCGGTGTAGTCACTCCGCCTGCGACGATCCAACCCAGACGAGTTTTTTGTAAATATAAATCATTAGTTATTGTAGACAAATCGATTTGGCCGATGGAGAATAATGATAACGTCGAGCCAGCACCAATCAAAAGATCAATCGGTCGTGGTAAATGAAACTCGGGGTCGGCTAATTTAATGTTTGGCGGTATATTTATGATTTCTCGGGAAAACACCTCCGACGGAACTAAATCAGCGATCATTGGAACCAATAAACATGGCAGGCGTTTACGAAAACCGTTGTATAGAGATTGAATCGTGACATGCCCGGTGCCCTTTGATGTGGTGTTTATTGCATTGATAGCGCCGATTTGTATGGCGTATGGACTTACAGGAAGTTTTAAACGTTTCATGAAATTTTCGGAAATAAAATTGGTGGAAGCGCACGTGTCCAATAAGGCTCTCCCCTTAATTAGATTGTGATCACGATCCTGCACAAGAACAATCGCGGTTGTCATTAATTGTGGAGTGAAGTCTGGTGAAATTATAGCCAAGCATGTCGTTATACATTCCCTTTCTGTCACTAGTCATTCACTTGGCGCGTCTTTATTGTCAGTCGTAATGGCCGTTGTAGATGCGGCTGCGCCTTTATTTAAATGTAAAAGTGTATTGTGACGTTTGTGGCAAACGGTGCAAGTAGAGTAATTACAGGCTTTACCTAAATGTGAGCGTAGACAATTGTAACAAAGTCTCGCGTTCTTTACAAATTCGATGCGTTTAGGTACGGTCATCTGTTTAAATTTCTCGCATTTGAATAATGGATGCTGTTTAGTTTTGCACGCCTTACAATTATCGAACGTATTGATCATGAATGTTTTATTCAGAATTTTCCCCTTCTTTGCCGGAGGAGAAAGCTTAACGTCATCTTGTTTAACCGATCCCGAACGTGTGCGCTTAGATAATCGTACCGCTGTTCTATATAAGAACTCAAACAGATCGTCAATTTTGGGAAATTCGTCCCGATCTAATGTTTCTTCCCATTTATCGGCGATACGCCTAGGTAATCGGCTCTCTACAATATTAACCAGCACCTCCGATCCTACATTAACTCCCAACGCGGCCAATGAAGCGACATGTTGTTGCGCGTCGTCGGCGAGCTTCGATAGACCCTCGGTAGATTCTTTTTCTACGGTGGGCATATTTAGTAGTAATGAGAGATGACGAGAGATGAGAACGCGTTTTACTTCGTAGACGCGCGTTAATAATTCCCATGCTTTATTGTAACTTGAGTTGTCGATCGGTAACAATTTTATTTTATTGGCCGCTTCATCCGTTAAAGACGATTTTAAATATTGAAGTTTGTCCACGTCGGAAAGATCTGTTCGCGAATCAATCATCGCAAGAAAAGAATTTTTAAACGATAACCAATTCTCGAAGCGACCCTCGAATTTTGGTAAAGAGGCTTCCGGTAGTTTCACTCGCCGCTTCGCTACCGTATCGGACACGGCATTACTCTGCTGAGACTCGTTCGCCGTGGTATCGGTAGACGCGGTGGACGGTGTCGAATTTAGTATCTCTTCGATTTTACTGGCAACCATATAAAATCTTTCTTGAATGTTTGTGAATTCATCTTTGTGACTGTCGTTTGAATCTAATATAATTAGTTCGTCGTTGTAATCCTCGTATGCGTGGTACAATTCGGTGACGCGAGCCGTGCGCAATTTTAACGCGGTTCTATCGAAGCTCTCCTTTTCAATAAAGCTTATCAAATTAGTAATTTGTGCTTTTAATGACGTGCGCTTTTGTATAAGTAATTTAATTCGATTGGCCATGTTCTCTTTAAAAAAAAAAGAAATAATATTGCTTAATCGGTCTTGTGTGTACGTGAAATGTACTTGCCCTTATGTACGCTGTCGTCTCCCGATCGTCGTAACGACTTTGCCCTTATGTACGCTGTCGTCTCCCGATCGTCGTAACGGCTGAGATGCGAATTTCTTCTTTCGTACGTAGATACTTCGTAGATTGTCGATTACTACTTGGTCGTTAAATCGTCGTTCACGCTTGCGTCGCGAACGACCTCACAGGAGGCACCATGTTTTAAAGGAGTTGCGGGAGTTTATTTCCACACTCTAGTTTCGTCAATCGTTTATTAACTGTATACACAAATTGATTAACACTATAAACCTTTAACACAATATGTCACGTAGGGGAGATCCGATTTGAGCGAGGACTCGGCCTCTATGTAAGAACCTGAGAACTCGGTCTCTGGATCGTAAGTGAACTCGGTCTAGGCGAGGACTCGGCCTCTATGTTATACGAGAACTCAAAACTCTATATAATTCGCGAGCTTTGAAATATGTATATTTCACGATATGCTAGCACGTAATAAACTTGACTAGAGAGACGATCGATAAAACAACAAAAGACGATCACATATTGATTATCGCGTCTCCCTTAACGATACCGATAGCAACGATTCGCGTTGGGTGCTATCCTTCGCTTACCGACGTCGGACAGTTTAGTTTCGGCGAATGTTCGTCGCAACAAAGCCTATTGTTACTTCACACTGAATAAGAAAACAGGTGTTGGCTTTCAGGCTTTCGCGGCTGTTGTCTTCTTTAGTCTTCATGGCTTCCGGATGGTTGCCGCGTCCGTTTGCAGTGTGGTGCCGACGTTTCGCAGGCGTTGCAGTCTGCTTCATCAGGGCTGGGAGACTCTGATACTGAGCTCCCTCGCGTTGCGCTCGTCCTTTTATACTCGTTCTTGGGGGGAAGGGAGGGGGTAGTCAGGGGGGGCGTGGTCAGAGAGAGGGGAGTCAGCCAATCCCGGCTGACGGAGGGGAGTCAGAGGGAGGGGAGTCAGCCAATCCCGGCTGACGGTTTTTTTTTTAAAACCGGGAGGGCGGTGTGCCATATCGGGCTCACCTGATAGCCTTTGTCGCGATTCAGATTGTCAGGGTGTTTCAAGATTTCTATGCCGTCGCGGTGTTTTCGTGCGAAATAGCTTTGAGACGGGGCCAGCATGGTGGCTTTGTCGAACTGGATGGCGTGTCCGGTCTCAATC